ATCTAATCTTTGATGGTTGGCCCCTATTGTGTTTCACTGAGCAATTTAATAAAACATTTGCCTGAAACCCCAGTTTAGACTGAATTAAACACCCTTGGTATATGGAGAGGGTGACAATAATTGACATTTTACTAAGGATCCTAATGGAAATTGTATACTGCAGGGCTTCATTTAACAAATCTCAATTTTAAACAAGTGAACCAAAAGCAATCAGAATTCTCACTTCCCAACAACAGTTAAATGTAGCATCATCAAAGTGCTCTATACCCAAAACAGCACAAATAAACAAGTAACCCAAATGAACTGTTGTACATAACTTAGTAATTTGCTTATGGTTATGTTGGTGCAGTGCTCCTCAAAAAAAACCAAACCTTATAATGATCAGAACCAACAATGATCAATGTTACCTTAATGTGTGCAGCATCCGTCATTTGTAATTCTTACATTTTAGGACTCCAAACCAGAGATAATGTAGGGAAGAGAGTGGTATACATACTTTACATTTATTGAAAAAAATATATATCACATGAGAAAATGGAAACATCAGCTTCTCCAATTGTTCCCATTCTGATAAATTCTCGGACAGTTGCAAGTACAGGTTTTGCTTCTGAGAATAGTTTAATCCAACCATATGATGCCACAGGGCATTTACACTATGTGTTTCACCCTGTTGGGCATCTTCTGTGATGTAATGGTTCGTCTTCATAAGTGCCTCATAAAAGGAGCAGTATGGTCTCTATATACATACTTTGACAGAAGACAATAATTTAGAAAGACATGATTGCTTTGGGAGATATAGATTTACAACATATGGGAATCTACATTTAATTGCCCCTGGTTTAGCAGAGTCCTTCATATAGTTGAGGCACAGTTCGTCATGTAGGGCAAAATCCACATCATAATCTTTATTTTCAGAAAAGGTAACCAGACTGTTTTGTAGTTGTTATAACAATAGTAATAGGTTCTAGTTGGCAGACAGATCACTATCTGCTGGTAGTAGATTTTTGTTCTTATTCTTTTCATCACCGGTCTCTGGAATATAAAACATTTTAAATATTTGTTTTATTAATTTTATAAGTAGCTGAACAATCCAACAAAAATACCTTGCTGTTGAAGTTGGCGTTCTTTCAGACTCACTCAGGTTGATTTCGATCTACTCAGATTTCGAGCTCATGTGAATAAATGCATAAATGTGGTTTGGAAAATTTTAGAAGATAGTATATTTCATAGATATTTCTATGGGGGGACTTTGAGGCTGAAGCTCTGATTTGCGGCTCTTTTACCCCAGATCTCTATATTTCAAACGGTGTTTGTTTTGTTTTCTTTTTTTATATCATGCAAGCACTTCTCAAAGCGCACACCTATTACAAAAAGAAAGACTACTAAAATTGGTTCCCCCAGGTAAAGGAGTGCTGGGGAAGTAGGGATCAAAACTGCACACGCCTCTATTGGTTAGTAAAGGAGGTTAAGCATGCGTGGAATTTGCAGTTGCATATCTGAATCCTGATGTTTCACGTTATGGAACACTTACTGTTACTGGAATATTGTTCATTGAAAAAAATGCTATACCAGCCCCATAATGCATTGCGCCAACATAGTGTGCAGATATGGAAGTGGGAAAAAAATTCTGAAAACTGAAAACTATCACTGAAAGAAAGCACTCATAGGGCTTCAAAATAAACAAAAGAGCAGATTTATCGTAAGCAGATGTGCATTTGCATATAATCAATGTTTCAGTCCATTTTCTTGATATATTAAGAAAAGTTTGGTCATTTGGACTGAAATTGTGAATGTATTCTATTGCACAGCAGTGAAAAAATTATGTTATCTTGTTTTCTTTGAAGTAATAAGAGTGTACTCTTCCCTTTGGCTTACAACTGGATAAAATTCAGTCAATGCCAATTCAATTCCCAAAGGAAAGCATTAGGGGCCTATTGCGCATGTGTGAAAAAATGCTGCGCTTCACCGCACCAATCATCTCCTCATACATCTCTATGGGGAGCGATCAGTGCCTCCGTGCAGACTGTGCAGCACTGTACTAGGAAGCATCTCTAGTGGCCATCTAAATGACTGTTACTAGAGGTGTGCCTAGGCAGCAATGTAGACACTGCCTTTTCTCTGAAAAGGTAGCATTTACAGTGCTCAGCCTACAAGGACAGGCTATAAACACCAGAACCACTACATTAAACTGTAGTAGTTCGTGTGACTATAGTGTCCCTTTAATACGACGTCTTTCTCTGACCGGTTGACTCTGAGTTACAGGGAGAGCAAGAGACACAAGTGAAGATGTATTTTGTTTGTGTCTTTCTCCCCCAAACCCCTTTCATTTGTCTCTTAGCCCCAGCCCCATTGTCTCTTTCTCCCTTTCCCAGCACTTCTGCGAGTCTCTTTCCCAGGCCCCCGTACCTCTATGTATATCTTTCCCCACAGCTCCTCTGTGTGTCTCATTCTTGCCTTTTTCAGCCCCTCGTGTGTCTCTTGCTCGTCTTCCTCAATTCCTCTGTGTATCTCCTGTTCCCCTTTCCCAACCCCTCTGTCTCTTTCTTCCCACACACCTCTGTGTGTCTTTTTACTCCCCAGCCCCTCCATGTGTCTCATTCCACCCTCTCCAGTCTTCCATGTTTCCCATTAGCCCCTGCCCTCCATGTGTCCAAATGTCACGGCTGCTATATTAAGAAAAGTTTGGTTACCGCAGTCTGCCTGCTCGGCCATACTACATTCTGTGACCGGCAGGAGGGGAGCGCATCCCCTCCTGCCAGTCACCCTGTAATTGCGCTGTGTGCGATCTGTGGGCCGATGCGCACTCTGCTGCTGCTAACCAGCCTGCTAGTATGCCAGCTCACCAGGAAATTTCCTGGTGTCTGGCCCTGCAGGCAATGCACACGAATTCTCAATGTCAGTTCATACAGAAAAACTAACATCCAAGAATTCTAGTTCTAAAAACAGAAACACTGAATTTATATAGAAACGTACTTTAGTATTTCAGTCAATAAATACTCCAACATTGGGAATATTTGTCTGGGGAAAATAAGAGAACAACTGAAAAAGGAAAGATTAGATTTAATTGTGGAAATGGGCAAGAAGAGGGGGAAAGGAAATATAAGATTTAATGATGAAAAATAAATCCCAAAATAATTTTGCATGGTGCCACAAAAACTTTAAAGGGGGCACTATTTATATTAATAATATAGACTAATATAGATGCCAGATACCATACAATATATTTCATATTTTCAAGAAAAGCCATTAAAATGACTCTACATGCACCATAACCAGTTCCGCTTGCGGCAGTGGTTATAGGACACTTGTCAACCTCTTACTTGCAATGTTCTTTTCCTGATGCTCTGTACAAATTGCTCGAATGGTTTGAGAACAGGTTATATGTATTTGTCAAACATACCAGCCCATTATTTGGGGGCAGAAATCATGGGTAGAAAATGTATTTTATGGATGGCGAAACTGGGATTTTTGTTGAGACAATAGTAAATTATGAGTGAGGGTTGTATTGTTGCTATATCTGGAGAAAAACTAACTATTTTGCAGTTATGCTGGCTAGTCAGAGAAAGGAGCCGTGGCTAGTGCGATAGGACCATAAGATAATGGATAGACTGTCAGCTTTTGTACACCATACATCATCCTCCTTTCACAAGATCTGGGCCCCTTGGGTAAACTTTTATGGAGCCGATACATGATCCATACCTGTGTTTAAGATTTATGGGTCTTTACTTGCTCCGCAGAGTACGTTTTTTTGTTTGAAATGCTGTTTTCTTTTCTTTACTTATAGATGCCTTGCTATCGTATATGGCTGTTCTTGGACTTAACACCCTTTGTTTTTGAACAATTTATAAAGTTCTATGGCTCTCTTTTTCCCCATACATTATATATGTAACCATTTTGGGCAGCCTTAAAGAAATAATATACCTCTATTAATACCTCTACCAAAAGTCATATCCTATAATAGAAAATGGAATCAAGAATACATATTTCAATTTAGGTTTGTCTAAATTAGGTAACTGAAATCTGAATCTCCTGTTTGCTTTCTATAAGTTTCATTGTTTTGGCATCAAAGCAGGCCTTTGCCCATTTTGCCATATATAGGCCTGGGTAGTAGGTGAGCTAGGTGTGCCCACCCTAATGCAGGGCTTCTTTGGTCCTTCTGTCCTTTGTATTTTTGCATTCATTTGATAAGGTGTTTAAATAATTAAATCATGAATAAGGTTTATTTTCAAAATGTACAGACTTTCAACAAGACAATGATCCCAAGCATACCTCAAATTCCACCAAGGCTTGGTTGCAGAAGAAGTGCTGGAAAATGATACAGTGGCCACCACAATCACTTGAATTGAACCACATAGAAAATCTCTGGTAGGATTTGAAGAATGTGGTTGCAGCACGCAAATTTAAGAATATTGCTGAACTGGAGGCCATTGCTCATGAGCAATGGGCTGAGATTCCTCAGGAACCCTGACAGAACCTGGTGTCTGGCTATGCATCTCGTCTGTAGCAGGTCGTAACAGCAAAAGGGTGCTCTGCTAAGTACTAAAGATGCTCGCCATGAAGGGGTTGAATAATTTTGAGACTGGAGAAGTCATTATAATTTGCATTTTCAGTTGAATTTGGGGAAACCACCTGAAGCATTCATTGTGTTGAGCTTTTTATTGCTTTTGATGATTTGTTCATTACATACAGTTGAAAGTCTGTAAATTTTGACAATAAACCTGATTTGCAATAGGGGTTGAATAATTTTGATGAGAACTGTATCTATGTATACACATGTTTATTAGTAGAGCAAAAACATTGGAGGATATTTATCAAAATGTGCGACCGGTAGCAGAGGGAGCACAGAACATCCCCGTCCTGCTTTTTACTCTTTGTAGTGTTGCCGTGCAGGACCCAGGTAGGGAATTTCTTTATCCTCAACCAAGATCTACAAGAAAGGGAGATACAACAAATGTACAGGCAGTGGGAATAAAGATATATACTTCCAGTACCCTGGCTGTGTGACTATGTCTATCTGGGTCTGTATGTCTGGATATGCTACTGTGTGCATGTGACTGTGTGCATGTGACTGTGTTACCGTGTCTGTGTTTGTGTGACTGTATTTTTGTGTAGCTGTGTGCATGTAAATGTGTGCATATATGTGTATTTGTGACAGTGTGTCTACTTAAATGTGTGTGTAAGTGACTGTGTGTACAATTTTGTAATTATCTTGTGACTTTGTGTGATTGTGACTGTGCATGTCAATATATTTATCTGAGCGCATACATATTTGAGGTGGAGGGGTTAAGAGAAACACAAGAATGGGAAAGGGGTTAAAAGAGGGAAATTAGGAAAAGGGGGATTATGAGAAACAATCAAGAAGGTCAGGAGATATATACAAATGGATGAGTGGGTGTTTAAATTGGAGGTGGGGGAGGGGGCTGTTGCCAACATACTTTTCTGCCCCAGGTGACAAGTAACCTAGGTACATCTATTCTGGGTGCACACCTTAACATAAATTGCTGCACATGGCTATTTCATCCTGCAAGGCAGCAATTATTTAATGTTACCCTTCAGAATATGTAAGCATTAAATGAGCGTTCTCAGTATGATGTGACATCGGTTCACCCCTTCATATATATTATCTCTTTTGTGTTACAACACTTATGTCCTGCCTAATATTTCTGAGTTGAGTACAAGGTTTGATTTCTAACACACACAGATCAGTAGAAAAATGGATTCTCAACTGCATCATTTATTTGTTGAAGCTGAGATTCTGTAACGTAAGACCCATAAAGAAGATTTAATGGTGGGGTGAAAAAAAAAGGCGGCTTGCAAATGTGGTCACTTGGAGAGGTTATTTCCAACAATGCAACAGTTGTAAACCTAAAATATGTTTTCATAGTTGTATGTATATGATGCATAAAGTCAATCTTTCATGCAAATATGATAAAGTGGTATATAGTGTAATATTTCTCCTGTACTTTGCAGTAGTCAAAGTTCTAGCAAATGTATTGATAAAATGTCAATGCAGTTTTGAGAGCATCAACAATTAAACTCTAATTATGAGAGATATATATACAGATGAATCACTGAATTCCCATAATGCCAGGCACAGTATTCCACAATTCTTAACATAAGTATTTACCCCGAGGCTAACAAGGCATTTGCCTTGGGTAGCACTTTTGGGAGGGAGTGGGGGGCATAGAATGCCGCCCTCAAACACCCTGGCAGATGCCTTGTTAGTCTTGTGTCATGGGGATCCCAAGAGTTGTCAACATTAGGGCCCCCTCGAGGCAGGCGGATATGTGTATTGCAGGCAGACGGTGAGGGAGCACTGATCTCCGCCTTCATGCTCTGCTCCCTTGCGCTCCCGCAGTTATGCCGGGAGCTGGATTATGATGTCACTCTGGACCTGGCTTCCCTAAGCAGCATGTGAGGAAGCATAGGAAGAAGCTTGCAGCTCCCACTCAACCTACTTTGCGCACCTGCCCTGCAGCCAAAGGAGCCCTGCAGACACACTGGCCCTTAGGGAAAAAATCCACTCTAGCTCTCCAAAAGGTAGAGAGGCTGGGTGGGTTTAAATTTAAAAAAAACATAACTTGTGAATGCATGAAAAATGTGTGCGCTACTGTCAGTGAGTGTGCGCATCTGTGAGTGAGTGTGCATGTGTCTATGAGTTTGTCTTCTGTCAGTGAATGTGTGTTAGTGTGTGTCTGAGTGAGTGAGTGTGTGTGTCTGTCATAGTGTGTCAAATCAGTGAGTGTGTCTGTGAGTGTGTGTCAGTGAGTGTATGTGTATCTGAGACTGCGTGCCTGTCATAGAGTGGGTGTGTCAGTGTGTGTCTGTCAGTGAAAGTGTGTGTGGGTTAAACAGTGTGTAACAATGACTGTGTATCGGTCAGTGAGTGTATGTCAGTGCATGCATCATTGAGGGTGTGTGTCTGTGAGTCAAACAGTTCCGGATCAACTTAAGAGCTGGTGTGGGCTGGCTGACAATGAAATTAGTAAAGGTAAAGCTTTGCAAATGTTCTTGCTGCTCCAGTCTCTCTAACACTGCTGCTCCAGTCTCACTTCTACACTAACTACATACACCTTTTCTCTGTTCGAAGCTATATAACAAGGGCTTCTGCCTGCTATTTAAGAAGGTTAGGATAGGAGTGGACCAGCGAGTGCTAGGGGACAGTCCTTAGAAAGCGTAGAGCTAGTGCATCATTAGACGAATTTATGCCAAGCTCAGGGTGCTGTCTGCACAGTATGACCTTGGTTGGTCATCCTTGGCAGGTGGCCTGATGTGTATTCACACCAAGCTGACCATCTAATTCTTCATACAGACAGGCCCCCTTTCTGGGCATGTTGTCCCTTTGGGCGGTGCTGGTTACGTGATTCACATCACTGGCCCACCCTTTTACCTCACCCACTGAAATCCTGCTTCACCGGATACTGCTGTTAGGGGCAATGGATTTACTTAAACGACGAAAGCGAGAGATTAGCATAGGGTATATGTTTTCTGATTTCTATATCCTGTGAGTTTCCCTCCAGCACAACCTCTACCAGATACATGACACTTGGGAGGTATAACTGTTTTCTGTCGATAAGATTCTGCAATTAGGCCCATCATAATTGTCAGCACCGGGCCCAATGGGCTCTTAATCTGGTCCTGGAGTCAAAGGTGCATGTTGGTCTTAAACAGGAAGAGGTGGGGCAAATTTAGATTAGGGGAGTGCCCGAGTTTGATCATGCCTAGGGCAGCACAAATCCAAAATACACCACTGGGGTTACGTTTGGAACTGAAGCAGTTCATCAATGCAGCCTAAAGCAGAGACTCAAAAGTCAGATAAGGATAATATTTAGTGGTTATATATTCTTGCATTTCATAACTTATTTGAAGAGTGCAAATCTGCTAGGAAAATCACTGTGCATTGTTAAATAATGTACACAATTTAAACATGTTTATGATGTCACGCCTGATAATGTTTTATGCTCAATCTCTTTCCATGTCAGATACTATTTAAGATCAGTGGGGTATTGTAGGAAATCATGAAAGCCATAAAAGTGAGTGATCATTTCCCATGTGCCCACTAACAGCCTCTAACACAGGAAAGGACTTGCAGGAGGAGCCCCCACAACAAAGCATCTTCACCTGTGTTTTTCATAACCTTCTTTTTTGAATTTTTTAACCCTTTTAGCCTCTTATGTGTTTCTTATCCCATCTTCTAACTTATCCCCCTTGTGGGTCTCTTGTCTCTTACAAAATTCCCCCTTGTATATCTCTTACATACTCCCAGTCCCTTTGTGTGTCTCTTACTTACCTACCACCCCCATTGTGTGTCTCTTACTCCCCCCAATCACCTTATGTGTCTCTTTCTTGCCCCACAGTCCATTTATATGGCTCTTTCTCCCCCAGCCATTTTTGTGTCTCCCCCCCCCCCCCCCAGTGCCTTTGTGTGCCTCTTTCTCCCATCAGCTCAATTGTGCAACCCCAGTCCCTTTGTGTGGCTCTTTCCTCCCCAGCAATACATATGCATTGTCAGCTGTATGACTCGTAACCCCCCTTTTGGAAATTGTTACCCCCTTTAGCCTATTTTAGGTTTTATATCCCCTCTTTTGAATGTCTTACCCCTTTTGCCCCTTTGTATGTCTTACCACATCCTTTAGTGTATCTTATCCCCCATTTGTGTGTCTTACATCCTCTTGTGGGTCTCCCCTCCTGCCAGTCATCCAGACATTGCACCCCTGGGGCCGATATGCCCTAAGGAGGCTGTGTGTGCATTCTTATGGTAGCACTGGCCTTGCTCTAAATGTAATCCTTCCTAAAACCTGAGCAAACCCTTTACTTAGCCTAAACCTGAAATAAATGCCATTTACCATAATCATATGTTTTCGGATAAGCTTTTTAAATTATTTCCTTATTTTGGAATGATTTCTTGTTGTAAAAAATATTTGAATATTTCTGACACATTGACCTTTTTATATGATACTTATTTTGATATTTTAATATTTTGGGGAAAACATTTTTTTTAAAGGTTTACAAAAAAATTTAAATTAAATAATATTGAAAAGCTTATCTAAAAATATTACTTTGAGGTTATCTTTAACCCTGCATACTTTTAGACAGCTGCATACACTCGCAATACTCAAACACAATACATTACACACAGAAATATGTACATACATGTATTATACATGCATACTGTTTTCTTAATGCATGCAATGTCCAGCTAAAATACCTTCTTTATTTGTTGTTGTTTTTTTGGGAGGGGTTAGGTGGAGGTATAACTGCGTGCACCTTAATTTCTGTACATATGGGCACCTGACATGTAAATCCGGCTCTGGGCGGTAGAATTGTCTTATCCTTTTCCCTCACACTGCGGTAGAAGTGTGAGTATTAATTAAATGAAATTAGCTATATTGGAGTTAAAGGAACACTGTAGGTAATGACACCATTTCATCATATTGAATTGTATATAGTGCCTGGAGTTCCCTGGCATTGTTCCTTTTTTCAATGTTAAACAATTTTTGAGCAATTTAACACTAAACAAGGATCCCTGCCTCTCACAGCCTCGTCCCCACTGGGAGTATGGCTACGTCAGAGATTACACTCTTCCTTGACCTTATCAATACATAACAGCAATGGGCACTGTGATAGGCTGAAAGTGGTCAGCTGACACTCTCAGGCAATCACAGCTTACCGTTTCTGCTCAGGTTAATACTTCCTCAATAGCTCCAGCAGCACAGAGGGGATGAGCGCTGGGGACTCTCATTTAGCATTAAACCATCAAAGACAGATTAACACTGAATGGGAGGAAAGCGCCTGGGCACTCCAGACACTATCACCACTTCAACGAGATAAAGTGGTTGCAGTGCCATGTCCCTTTAACACCCAAATGATTTCAAGTGAATACCAGAATGGAAAATTTGAGTTACATGAGTCAATTTCTTTTTATATATTGTCTGTTAAAAGCAGACTTTTGTAAAAACAAAACAATTTGATTGAAAATAACATACTTATCTGGTAAAAGTGTATTGTAGAATGTTTATCCAGTACATTAGCTGGTAATATAATTATGGAAATCAAATTATTCTGGTCATTTGTAATGTTTTCCATTTTATCAATAATATTTGTTCTGCAGAGAAATCACGGAGAGACACAACTAGCATCTAACCCTGTGCTGTTCAATACATTATAAAGAAAGATTAAAATGGTTATACACAAGAAATCAATGCATTATATATTCCTTTGGCAAGCAAGTAGTTAACATGAATATGTAATATTGAACCAGAAAGTAGTTTCCTAATCATAAGCACAAATACAGGTGCTAATATCACACACTCTCGATTATCCATAGACACCCTCTACAATATAGTATTATAATGATTTAATATGTTAGGCAAAAAAAATCGCCAATTCTGGATACATTGACTAAACTTTTTAACAACAAAATGACAGAAGAGAAATAACCAGTACGTTTGAGATCTCCCGCCCACAAGCCTACAATTAAGACAGGTAAGTCACAAGGTAAGTGGCTAAGTGGGTACCTATTATTCTGGCCAGTAAGATTGTGAGTATAGAGATTTACTAAAAATAGGAGGTTTGACCCATTGTACAGTGCTGCAGAATTTGTTGGTGCTATATAAATAATAATAATACAAGAAAAAGAAAAAAAAGTGAAAGGATTATTCAACAAAGTCTAAATAGAAAGTGAAATTGAACGTTTAGGCCAAAACAGCTTAACTTGGACACTGTCGTTTCGACCAACTATTTTGCAAATGGCAGGGTTACTTACTAAACTGAATTTCAAATGTAAGGCCAGAGTAGCAGAACTGAAAGCATAGCTGATTTAGATAATTTTTCCAGTTCTGCTATTTTGACCTTAAATTTGAAATTCCCTTTGAATTTGCTGTTTAGTAAAGAATCCTGTAAATTCAGAAATTTCACTTTGAATTCATTATGATTTGCAGTCAGTTCACATAACGATAGATTGTTCTATTAGACAGGATTATTCACTAAACTGTGTAATGTGTAAATCCAACCATATCCACATGGCAAATCACACATGGCAAAATATAGTCTATAGCAGCCAAGCTGTATTAGACATTTTTTTTTTTTTTTACAGATTATCAATGTTTTGCCTCAATTTTTCATTTCGGATTTTATACTTTACAGTTCAGAACTTAGTGAATAGCCCAGTGAGAGTGTTTACATTGTCTGTTCTATTTATACATGGTGTAACCCCCTAGGGCTTATAATTTACAAGAGTATATAAAAAAACAAAAAAAAACAAGGGGTTTACTTCACTCTAGTGCTGAAAGGGTTAAACATAGCATGCTTGCTATTGAAGAATAATGCATCATTCCCATTGGACTCATAAGCCATTGATGCACTTAGGAGGAATTACTGCTGAAATATGCATTTTATGTGCAGTCAATGCAATGCACAAATCTGAATACAGAGATTTTAGGTTGCTTCAGCAAGTTAACCCTTTTCACACAATTTTTTTTTTCTTTTTTAAATCAAGCCACCAGCATGATGTTAGTATGAAGATTTATATTATATTATCCTTTTATAAGGCTCTTACTCACCATAATTATGGAGTTTATTTCCCATAAATTCCCAATATCCTTGTAATCCATAAATATGTTATTTATCACAGATCCCTGCTTCCCTGGCCCATAATTACATCAGGAAGTCGACCTAGTTTGCTTGGGATTTCCATGCTGTCTTTAAATATCCACATCACAGTGTACTGGTCTAGAACCAAAGAATACAAAAACCAAAAACACAACATTTTTGTTACCAAATTTTATTTCCTTTGTTCCTTTGGGCAGATCTGTAAAAATTACATTAAATGACATAAACAAATACCCCAAACAGCTGGTTACTTGAACACTTAGCAAGGCAAAGAAGAGGGATATAGATTGTGCAAATGACATTCAAATCTTTGTTATCAAGTGGTTTAAGTGGGGAGTAAGTGACATTGTATCCTGTACTGATGGGTGGAGTTATTTAAAATCCTTATAGAAAGGAGATAAAAGAAAGAAAGTGTACATGTGATGCACTTTTTCCAACCAAGTTCAAAATGTATGTCGTGATTGTGCAACATTTGTATCCTGCTACAAATCCGACTGTCCCCACACTAAACAGCTTAATTCAAGATGTGTTTTAGCAACTTTAATATTTTGCTCTAAATGTTGCAAGTTAGTTACTAGATCAACCCACTGTTTAGTGAATAAGCACCTAATGCATATCATACCAATGATTTAGTTTTAAGTTTCTTTTTGCCAGTTTATCTCTGTATCTTCTTAGGAATGATGTGTGAGAGGTGCAGTGGGGCCACCTGGAAATAAAACATAGAAATTAGTTTAAATAAATAAATAAATAACTATAGCTAGTAGAAAAAAAAAAAAAAAAGATTATTATTATTTTTCTGAGATGAAGAAATACATAAATTAAAAGAAGTATTTATGATGTAAAAGTAGCTTTTTCTTTTTCTTCTACTTTCTCCCCCAACCTTGTTTCAAATAACTACTGGAGTATGGATTATTAACCCCTTCGCAGCAGAGCAGAGAGCTCGCTAAGCCAGCAGTTCTGGAGTTAAAAGTATGAAGAATCATTTGAGGCCTCGCTAAGACTGGGCTGTTTTGAATTATGGCTTTGTTGAGCCAAAGGTCATTACAATGGATACGTAAAGCAATAAAACTAGTGCAAGCAGTACTCTTTCCCTATAAAGATTATCATTATTGGCTTATTAATACTCGACAATGGTGAGTTATATCTCAGTAATAAATAGGGAGCTTGACTCGTGCTATCAGATAGAAATGAAGATTATTTCCTTTCTGCTTTAACTACAGCCACACGTGTGTGAACACATACACCGCTTTCTAGGCGTTATATAGCGTTGCATTTACACTGATTGCCCTGTATCGATTAGTAATGTGCATGTATGCATATCTACAGGCATAAATATCGAAATGTATGTGGCGATTATAGCGATTACAACGTGTGTATATGTATGTGTATTTGTTTTAGAGTGTGTGTAATATATGTATGTCTGTGTATATCTCTATCTATCTACATATATATATACACACACACACACACTCACACACACACACAAACATACACACACATACACACACTCACACACACACACACAGACTCACACACACACTCACACGTGTTTTGTGCATAAATAAACATTATTTTATATATAATAATAAATATCCGTGAGAATATATATATACATATAATATATAGTGTGCATTAATATATGTATATATACATAATGTGCATATTAATGTACACACGTAAATAAATCTATAAATCACGCATGATTAAATACACAATACATAAAATATAAGAGGCAAGCTTACAACTATTTATTTATATTTCATGTAAGTGCCAAAATGATCTTCTGATACACATTCAATTTCTAATATTTCATTTAAAGGCAGTCATTTTCTACAAGCTCATTTGAAAAATAAAATAATATATATATATATATATATGATATAAATGTAATAAAACGTCTAAAATCACAGTTGATGTTTTTGTAAATCCCATGCATGCAAGGCGGGCTATGATGTATGTACAAAGCATTCAGCTTGTCGTGCAGATAAAAGGTTAAATCTGGGCCTTGTATTTTCACAGTATATTTTGTAGCTTCTTGGCCATTCTTTGATTTATTAGCCTGTCCTAAAACAGGAGTATATTTTGCTGTTGACTTTTAATGGCCCTAGTATTGTCTATCACTGGGAATATGGATCCCATAAAATGAGAAACGATACATTTTTATTAATCCCAAATATTGGAAGTGTTACAGAACTCAGCGACCATTAACATGTGCCTAAATGTTACTATGTAAACCCAGTACACACATCTACACACCAGATGCAAAAAGGCTGGAGATTAACCCCTTCACTGCCCTGGATCTGTTGTACTTGCAGCAAAGGGGTTAAACTGCACAGGGAACACAGGAGGTCTCAAATAAATTCAAACAATTACAGCTGTATGTATATAAAAAATACAAATAAATCACACTATATTCGTTGTTTTTTTTTTTTTAACTTGTAATGAAATGCGACGTAGATCAAAAAGGAAAAATAGATGACAATGAAATTTACGATGTAAATCTCCCAGTTCCTAAAATAATAAATCCTGTCCTCTTTATTCTGACCCTGCTAATAATTTTGGGTTATTTTTGAGGACTTTTTAGTGTACTAGCGCCAAGCAAGATCACCTAAAATACAGTCACAATAACAGCACTAAAGTACAATTATTCAAAATAATAAAATAACAAAATAGCAGCACTAAAGTACAGTTATACAAATAAATAAATAAAAATAATAACAGCACAATGCTTATTTTTAGGGCATTTTTTGTGAGTGTTACAGTATCTATTTGCATCCCCCTTATGTATTATAACAATACCCCCCCCCCCCCCCCCCACACACACACGGTTAATCACATACACACACATCACGCACAGTGCTTTAGATGTATGTATTAACCCTTTCTAAGATCAGTTTGACCCAACTCTTTAGACTCTCACACTTACTCAGATCCCCAGAATAATCCATTGGCTTTTTAATTACCTGACTGTGATTAGACCCAGGATACTGACCCAGATTACCCAAGTAAGCCCTTCTCAATCAGCACCTCCACTCCAGATCACTTCTGTTTGCAGTCCAATAAATCCCAGCTTCGGTTGAAGAAATTCTCAGCCAGAATGTTGAAAGTAACAGAAACAGTCACATCTCCCCTTGTCTTCTAAAAGTCCTCAGTGGGATTTTTTTGTGTGTGTGTCTGTCGTCTGATGGAAGCAGGGGTCGGGGAATTGCTCAAATAAAGTTGCAATGTTTGCTAAAATCTGAAAATTTTCCACCTACTGGATTTTTTTTTTTTGTTGTTACACAGATTCTTTGAGTTACTAAGCGTTGCAGAGCTGGGCTTTCCCTTTATCCTTGTTTATAGCTACAGAAGGCAAAAAAACCATAAATCTTTTAGAAAGCCCATAGAGACAAGAGAGAATTGTGTATGCATGGATAGGAGCGGCTAATGTCTAAAGCTATTAAACAAGCCTATGTAGGACTCAACTTGTTGGGGTACATTAACTTACAGTTAAATTCTGCTAAGAGGAAAAATATATGCCATTGGAGAATTAACATAAACCAAATTCATCATTTGATTTTTGCCATATTAAATTAGCTAAGTATGATCACCCCCTCCTTTTTTTTGTCTTCCAACTCCCCCAGTCATTGTGTTCATTTTAAAGTCTGGGGCTGTTTGCATAAAAGTCATAAATCAGAGGTCAGAGAAAGTTTTTGAAATCGAGATCTGTGCTTAAAACGACTTGATGTGTCTGATAGGAATACCAAGCGCAGAGAGCGTGTGAAACTAATAGAGGTTGTGGGGGGCATTGGTGGGGTACAAGATAAAGGCGGTGAGTGCTGCAAAAAAAAAATATATTAAATAAGAGCAGGCCTTATGTATACATTATTAAATTATCTGCAGTCTGCAAATGAGGCAATACAATAATAAAATAAATATAATCACAGTATTGCCATAAAGATGCATTAAGATGTTGTTTATAGCATGTACATAAAATAATGCATTATAACTTCATAAATATAAGTTAATACAAGGAACATATATAATTAGGATAAAATAAAAAAGGCGATGATGTGTGTTTTCTTTGCTGTGTATTGTATTTTTTTTTATTATTATTGATCAGAAACCTTTCTTCTTTTTTTCTTTTTCATTTTTTTTTTTTTTTAAACCAGAGGCCCTTAATGACGCCTATTTCCTTCCAGTAATCAATGCAAATTTTTGCTAGTGGTCTGATTGTATCAGTGGACTCAGTGAGGCAGGGCTAGGTTCAATGCTTGGGTTGACAACCCCTCTTAAAGACCACTAAACAATCATAATCTGCATTGGCAATACCCCTACCACCACCACTTCTCTCTTCCACCCCCCACTCCACCCCCCCTCCCTCTCAACCCCCCCACACCACCTTCCCCAAAAAAAGGGCCCAGTACAAATCCCTTAGCAAACGCCTCCCCAACTTCCCAGTGCTGCCTCTTATTCTCAGACCGAATATACACTGGGATATATTCTGCAGCTCCCTCTCCGCCTATGAAAGTGTTAAAAGGTAAGATATTTCTTCTACAAGCAAACAGCAGGCTTTTGTATACATGATTTATAGTCTGATTCGTGGTTCAAACAGAGTTCACTTGGATTTGCTACTGCTGAAGGCTAGCGATGATCTGACTTCACACCAACACGACTGACATTAAAATCTCTTTCCTTTAACTCACTGCATTTAGGATTGTGGGAAAAAAAGCGACTTGATAGCTGAAAATGTATATTTCGAAGAAAAAAAAAATCAGATGTGGGGGTCTTCTTTTTTTTTTTATCTCTGTCGACCTTTAAAATGATCCAGGTTGCAAAATGCATGATAGAGTTAATTTCTAATTAAACAATCGACAGCTCAAATGCTTGATCATACATGATGATACATAGAATCTGGTATAGGGGCAGAGGGGAGGGGGTGGGGTGATCAGTGTGTGTATATATATCATATTCATAGAACATGTATTTTCTAGGTAATATTTTACCAAATATCCCCTCCCCTTTTACGTTGTTTGATCCTTTTTGTTGTTTAAAATCAAATAGGAGATAACAGATTTATTTATTTTCAGGAAAAATAAAGCACTTAGCACAGAACACAAAAAAAATGAAACAAAGACCCCCAGTTGCAGCAATGCATAAATACACTGTTTTCTTCAGATATTGCTTTTAGTAGTTTACTAAGGAATGTGAAAGAACTATTTCACAGAAAATGCTGCCACTACAAACATTAATTGCAAAAGCAGATTTAATGAGATGGTTTTTGTAGCTTCCAGTTAAATTAAACTCCCAGCACATTATATTTTATTTACAACCCCTTCCTAGATTCTTTGGTGTTTACTCTGAGCCAGTAGCTAAAATGAAAATTCGTTTTTGATAAATGCCCTGCACACATTTTGAAGTTGGACTGACATAAATCAAAAAAGGGAAAATGCACGAATCATATTTATATGGGGGCTTGGAGCTCTGGCTATTAAATAAACAGTATTTTATATAGGATTTATGATATGTCGTCCTGTTATTATCGTATGGTTTTGTTGAGATTAGAGGTTTGTGTGTAGACATTGGGGCATTAAGAACAAAGAACCTTGCATTCTATGATGATAATTAGATTTACAATGAAGGACAATGGCCATAGGGCCATGATACAGAGACCACAGACCTTACAGGATCAGAGATGGGTATATAAAACAAAATTTAAAAAAAAGAGAGAAACATTAGGGATTTAAGGTGAAAATATGTTTGTCTCCCAGGTTTTGTGCAGTGTAAATGTGCTGTTAGTGAGTGGGGTTATAAGGAGCTCTGCCAAAGAGAACAGTTTTGTATTATTATTGTCTTTGGCTCAATGTGAGTCAAATTCCTGAGACCAAGTCCTCTGTAAACACTTGGAAATGTTAGAGAAAGTTTGAACGTTAAATATGATGGGAATGTGAAATACAGGACTGAATGGAGTCACAGAGAGGCCCCCTTGTTGTAATGCTCCCAGGCAGTACAGTGACTCACTAACCTATTTACTATATGGTGAGAGAGGCGAGGAGGATAGAATCACCGTACCTACACAGAGAGACCAATAAAAGAAATAAATGCCATTGTGACGAAATGAAAACTATTTTAAAAACCATAAAAAGTTGAAAGTGACCAGACAGATAGAACGCAACATAGTACTTGCTCACATTGTCTAAATAAATATTGCCAATCATATTCATTAGCTACAAAGTGATACTCTGATAGTGTAAATACATAATAGGTTACAATGTGTAAATAAATTGTATACAAAGATAAAACACACAGTTATCTAATTTATCAATTAGGAGACACTAATAAAATCTAAATAATAAATATCCAAATCTAACCCAAATATATTCGTTGTGCTTTGTATTAGTGTAATTATTACATTAATTTCTGTAAAACAATATATTTATTTATTGTTTTTATTTTGTTTTACACAAATAAATCCAGCTATCTAAAGGTAATAGCATAAAAGTAAACGTGAATCCGATGCTTGGTCACAGGGATCGAATATTAAACTTGTTTCATTGATAAATAAGGCGAGATCCAAATTCACACTTTCTATGCTTTATTTATACTTTAGAGCAAATGAGTCTACTACTTAAACAGTGAACTTAAAGTCGAATGGCAAACAAAACCAAAATGAAAAAAACAACATGACTAAAGTACCCCAAATCTTCAATTCGGATTTCAAGTCACTCGGTGTTTAGTGAATAAACCTATTGTCCTATGCATCATAAGATTTCAAATATTAAATTACAATAATAAAGTATAGTTTTCTTACAGTCTTCTAAATACACACATTTAAAGGGTGTCCTTGGAAAAAATAAATAAATAAAGGGATATTTACTAAACATCGAGTTGCGATGAGCCAACAACCGACTTGCACAGTGTAGGCCAAAGTAAATAGCTAATGGAGAAGAATGAAATAAACAAAAATACCTCTATATATTACACTATCTATCTATCTATCTATCTATCTATCTATCTATCTATCTATCTATCCTCTACCCCCAGAATAACCCTTGTTCCATACACTTGGCACAGATTTGACCCATACCCATCCATTTGCCTTGTGCTAAGTTCTGTCTGTCTATCAGTTCCATCTGTCCATCCTTTGCTGCCTGCAGTGTTCTGCCAGTGGGATTTGATTTGTGTTTTTAAGTGAAGAGCCCCTGTGGAAAGCTGGATTGTGGTACAAAGCAAGATCAGATGATAAGTATTGTCCACCTTTTCCTAAAGTCATCCATCATGGCAGGTAAACCTGCAGTGTTTATACCACAACTAGAAGGTTAACCTTCCTGTGAGGCGGTCACATGGAACAAACCAGCAAACCATCAGACTACAGTCCTCCAGAAATAACCAGTCATCTAATTACTGTTAATCATTTTTATAACTTCCTACTGCACTTCCAGTAAATAAATCCTGCTGTCACAGCTTTAATCTATCATCTGAGACTTTATAAAACAACACTCTGCTGGCTTTATAGCACTCAATGGCTCTACCAATGTATGTGTAAATAGAATATACGATTTAATTGTAGTAATAATAAAAATAATAATAATAATAATAACATTTATTTAATAATAATTATATATAGATATATTTACACACACACACACACAGGATCTAAAAAATATCTAATTAAATAAATAAATAAATAAATGCATCTCTCTCTCTCTCTCTCTCTCTCTCTCTCTCTCTCTCTCTCTCTCTCTCTCTCTCTCTCTCTCTCTCTCTCTCTCTCTCTATATATATATATATACCTACATGCACACTTTTAAATATTAGTTCTAAACATCTTTAGCATATGTACAGACATTTAAACATACAGGTTCGTTTAAAACATAGGGGTCTGTGAATGTTTTCTAAACGTTCTAACTTGACAAACAAACTTTCATCTCTCCGACCCAAGTCCTGGATTGCATGTACTATAGATGATTTATTGGGAGAGATCGAAACTAGTATATTAAGAGTTTGCCCAAAATGTAAAATATGATGGACATGGTATTACATACCTACCCGAGAGTATAGTTACAATTTAACTAGTTTTGATTGAATACAATTCTCTGTAGAGTAATACTATATAGTTAGTTCTACTTTTTTACTTCACATATTTGTTTTATTAGTTAGACCACCAGTCACTTTTTAACTGTGTGATCTGACTTTATATTGGTTAAATATTCACAAACACCATTTTTCTGTTTGAATTTAAACGAAATAATTGTATAAAGATAGGAATCCACTTTTTCGAAACTTTTTTTTTAAAATTCCACTTTTTAACTCGAAATTTTCCAGTGATACTTTTTTAGTGTGAATTCCAAATTGCATTTGTTTTTCGAAAAATTGCATTTTTAAGGTAATTGAAGACTAGAGCGAGTTTCATGGTCCTCTTCCTGGAGTTTCAGTGGAGGGGAGGTTGCATATGATGAAATGTGGACGATTATTAATATCAAAATAATGAAAAGTAACTCATTCTAGAAAGTCCCTCTTTCTGTGTGCACCACTCCCCCCCCCCCCCACCCTACTGTCTGTACTCTCCATCCAAGGATCAGATAAAGTAGCAGCCTTCAGATTCTAAAATCAATGAGATATTGAGACCTACCACAAAGGATCAAATCGTATATTAGAAATCAGCTAAATATCTAAATTGGTTACTTTGTTTTTAAAGAATGATACTGAATGTAACATCTTTCTAAAGTAGTCAGATATGCTTGGACGTGACGTCAGCAAGTGGTCCCCAAAGGTTTTGGTTCCTAATCTCTCTCTCTCTCTCTCTCTCTCTGTGTCTCTCTGTCACTCTCTCTCAGCAGGTTTGGGACCTCTTAACACAGTTTGCTTGGGCTGGAAGAAGACATGGGTTGGGAAAGGATTTAAGATGCTTGTCCATTGCCTACTCTCTGGCTTGATACAACCGATACAGGGTCCTTTCTAAGCTTGATCTCTGTGATCACAAATCGTTGAGGGTGTCACATTACTTCTGTGCACACTTAGACTGAGGAGAATGCAGAAATCACTTTACTACGACAATCCAAGTTCTTTTGCAGGCTGTGATTTCCCAGACTCCAATGACATGAGCTACCTAGGGCAAGAGACTTACTCAAGTGAACCTGATTACGAGCCTGCGTTCTGTCTCCAGGCAGACACCACTACCACCACCACCACAGCTGCTGCCACCAAAGGTGAACTCAGAGTCAAAGGTGTACATTCCCATCTGTCTGACGTCTCGGAAAGAGCCCACCAGCCCAAATCACCCAGCTCTGCGTCCCCCACCCCAAAATCGACAGGAAACCAGAACAGCCCACCAAAGGACTGCACTGGACCCAACTCTGCCGACGTCACAGCCACCAAAAAGAACAGTAAGGCCACCAACATCCCCAAACAGATCTTCCCATGGATGAAGGAAACTCGTCAGCACTCCAAGCAGAAGAAGGCCATCCCACCCCCACCAGGTAAAGAAAAGTCTCTGTGCTCCCTCCCCTTCCCCCACAATGTTTACCTGCTCCTGCAAGGTGAAGGGGCTCATGTAGTAGGCATCTCAGTACATGAAAAACTGCTTCACCTAAGTGCTGTAACAGAGGGTCATTGCAAGAGTTAGTCTCTCATTAATAGAAATGACAGAGTGACTCAGATAACACCAGGTCCCCAATCCACCCCCCTGAGACCTCCTTTGCTGCCAACCCAGGTATATATAGATACTGTGTACACACAGGGAAACCACTCACAGCTCAAACTGTGTACACAGTGACTATCTGGCTCATACAGCACTGATATTTGGTAATATAAGATTTATGTTTATATTTTAATAAATGAATAGTTTGGCAAGGTGTGTACACAGATATACTTATATAAACATACGTCTCTGCAAATACCTGTACTGTTCAGAGGTAAAGAGGAGACATTATTTGAATTTATGGAATTGTTTGTTTGTTTGTTGTTGTTATTTTGGCAAAAGTGTTTTATGGAAAACTTAATTGTGTGACTTACAACTTTAAAAAAAATATATTTTTGTATGTAAGTATTTCAGAGTGAGTTTGGAGAATGCTTGATTTGCTAAAACGCCCAATAGGCATGCACATTCAGTAAATTCACATTCACACACAAAGTATACATGATTAGTTCACTCTGTGTGTGTGTGTTATACATTTGTTTATTATTGCAGTGAAGTTCACAATAATGTCTTTGATGTGTTAGTTAAAAGATTTATGGAATATGGAATACAGGGTTATATATTAAAGTAAGAACTGAAAGTGAATTCAAATTGAATTTCATATTTAAGACCTAAGTCTAATTTGACTTTAACATTGGTCAATTTGAATTCACCTTAAATTCTCACTTTAGTGAATAACCCTGATAATATTTAAATAACCAAACAGTAGGCTAAAGGCACTTCAGTAGCCAGTGACAAAATTAATCTGAGCAAAGAGATTTAATTATATTATTTTTTTACATCTTCATTTGACTTTCTGTTATAGACTCCCAGTGTAACTTCCTACATCAAGCAACCAATCATATTCTTTCCTCTTTACTCCTCCTATGATTCCCTGCTAACCTTTGGCTGGGTAAGAATCTTGGGAGTTGAAGGGCAGCAACAGTTTTTTAAGCTATTTGCTAAATCAGCCTGAAAGGCTGGCTGAGCATCATGGGAAATGTAGTCAGAACATCTGCAAGACTAGGAGAACATCGCTGTTTGATGTTATTGTTTTAATTACTAAATAAACAAATCTGATATTTTGTATTACAGAGGATGAAAGCTTCCTGGACAACTTGAGCTCAGCCTCCAAAAGGGCCAGGACTGCTTACACCAACTCCCAGCTGGTAGAACTGGAGAAAGAATTTCACTTCAATCGCTACCTCAGTCGCCCAAGAAGACTGGAAATGGCCAAACTGCTCAATTTATCTGAGAGACAAATCAAAATCTGGTTTCAGAACAGGAGGATGAAGTACAAGAAAGATCACAAAGGGAAAAGTGGAAGTGTCTCTCCTGGGGGACAGTCTCCCAGCACAAGTCCCTTACTGGTATCTTACTCCAACCCTCTACCTCTAGATGAGGACAATGGCTATGATGTGCCCATGGCCAACTCATTCAACAAGACCTCTGGGAACATGTATGGCTTAACTGCTTACTCGGCACCCCTGTTTGAGAACCCTCAGACCCAAAAGCGATATGGGGCCCATTCCCTTTCTTCTGAGTATGAAGACCCACATTTGCATGGTGAGGACACCTTTGACACCTGTGGACTGGAAGGAAGCCAGAGTTACATTGCAGGAAATTACCTGGAGAATGGAAACTGTTCCATGTTCAACCTCCCCCATCCTTCTTCAGATAGCATGGACTACAGCTGTGCAGCTCAGATCCCTAGCAAACACCATCTAGGACCCTGTGACCCACATCCCACCTACACAGACTTAAACATACATCCTGTGCCTCAGGGTTGTTCTCAAGAGCCCCCAGTGCTGACACATCTGTAGGACTGTCAACCACATGAAACCAAGGCAATTTTCCCAGGTCCATTATGTCATTAAAAAAGAAAGCCCTGTACATGTAAATGTGTCCCAGTATTAACCCTCCCCTCCCCCCCAAACATCCAAATGTATTTATTGAGCTATGCACAATACACAACTATGCATGGGTGATGCAAAAGTAATTTCACATAAGCAACCAATTACAAGTTATTTCAAACAAAGTGCCCTATCTTCTAAATAGTGTAACCTTTTCCCCATAATGGACTATTTCACATGAATGAATGTTATCTATTAATTTACCTTCTCCCCACCTTCCAATTTAGCCTATTACCCCTATCCAACAGCTTTCACAATATTCCCATTCTATTTTGAACCATATTTATGTGAAACAGATTTTTGTTTCGAAAACTTCACATTTTTTGCGGAGAAAAAAACAATACAAAAAAACAAAAACAAAAAACGAATCATATGGGTTGGCGTCTGTTGATTTGAAATATTTTTGCTTATTTTTGATGTTTTGTTTTGTACTTGAGTTTTTCTATTTTAATTTATTGATATAGATATAAAAACCAGATTGATGGTTTTCGTTCATATTTTTTCATTTGAACACTGATCTGTCTTTTTTTAAAGCGATTTAAGTAAGTTTGTATTTTAGAATAATATTTGAATTAGCAATTTGATATAATAAAGACAATGAAAATAAATTGTATCCACGAGTGTTACTGTGTTATTTTTAAATGCTGTTTATAAATAAAACAATTGGTAGGATGAGTTTCCTACATAGAACAAAAAAAAAAGGTTTTGCTAGTTGTTAAAAACACTTTGCTTGTTTTTCTTCCTTTAGCGAGGGTTGAATTTCACCCCTAATTCACCCCCATTAATCATCCGGACAGGGACACTTCACATGGTCCTGCTTTAAACCTTTTCATCTTACGTTAGTATTCAGCATTGGTACAACCTTACTTGATCAGTTTCAAAAACATTTTGTGCTAAACTCCCCAAATTCTCTAGGAATTCAGGCTTAAAATTTTTACTCATTTAATTCATTTATTTATTTGATAGAACACACTGACTTAGCTAGTAATACCTGCAAGAATTCACATTAAATCAGCACACTGCAGACTTCATTTTCGTAGGACTACAGTTACATTTCAAGGAGATCATATTTGTAAACAATAAATACATTTATGGTTTTATCTTTTAATTCATAATTTGTTGTTGGGAGCATTTTAAACTAATTTAAGAGTTTAATTTGCTGCAATTCTAACAGAACACCAACACACTGGCTTATTTTAACGAAAGTAACATTTCTGAACTTCTCTTACATCAGTTTAGAGTTTTTTTTATCTAGAATTAATTTATAGCAATTAAAATAACGGTGTGTTATTTATGTTCCTATTAAAGGATGAAACGATCCATTAACGTGTCCATTGGGAATAGGGTTCAAGAAGAAAGGAAGCTGGACGTGTTTAAATGTATATGGAACTAAGGATAGCCCCAGTGTATACTAACTTAGCTCCATGCATTTGATATTTATAATATTTACCTACTAAGTACATTCTTACACCATTTTATTAATATAATTGTCAGTGAGAAGATGGATGTATATATACAGGGATATTATGTTATTTGTCTTCATACATACAAAATACACACAGACATGGATAGAGAGTTGTCATTCAGAATTAAGAAGTCAGTTCCATGTGAGTTGATAATAGATTGGCTAAATCGAGATCAGAATACTCGATTTATAAAATACATTTTGTACTTAAAAAAAATAAAATCCAGAATTAGCAGTTTTGGCTTGTGATTTGCAAGTTGTTTGCCAACTTACCAAAACTTACTGTAAAATTACAATATATTATAATGGTAATAATAGCCTATATTGCTGCTTAACAAATAGTACTTCATGGTATGCACAGTAACTAGGGATTTTCAGAGATTAAATAAAAAATATCCTTCCTTTTTAGATAACTTTATCTAAGATTAATAAAGAGAGCATACTCTATGTGATGTGATTACTTCTCTGCCCACTAATGGCTGATAACTACTGCACAGTCTAAAGGGGACTGTACCCCCAGCTAACTCAATTTCACTGGAGGGAACAGAATCCTGGAGACTAATCTGTCACCATATGGCTGGGAGTTCACTGAGCCACAATCAGGACTACAATGTAACACCCACACTGGAACTCTGAGTGAGCAAAGCTGAATCTTTCATTCATTCCTGGGACCTGGGCATATAGGTCAATACAGCAGCATGGCTCATAATCATTTAAAAATCAGCGTTATTAGAGCTCACTACAAATCTTTCTTTTTCTTTCCTTTCCCTCCATTTTATCTATTTTAATGTCTCTATTTTCTCTCTCTCATATTCTCTTTCATTCTCTCACCTTTCCATTCTCTCTCTCTTCCACCCCAAAAGCCTACATAAAGCAAAAATTAAAATCTCTCCCCCAAGAAATAAGTACACATGTACACATGTACACACCCTCACACACAAAACCTTACTGTCACACACACACACACACACACACACACACACACACACACACACACACACACACACACACACTGAATAGAAACAAACTGGCATACCCACATACTTCAAAAGCACTGGCAGGCATGTATACACAAAACTAAATGCACAAACCTTGGAGATATACATCAGACATGTTATTTTAGCCCCTGTCCTGTTGCCTACTATTTGGGGACAGGAGTGTAGCTTTCCTGGAGTCCACTGCAATGAACTGAATCAAGTTGCTGGCTATATCTGGAAGCATCATGTGCAATGCGTGAAAGCTGTACCACACAGGGCCGATGCAAGGATTTCTGCCACCCTAGGCATTTTGCAGCCCCATTATGAAAGCAAATACAATCTCACAGAGGTTTATTTACTAAACTCTGAATTGCAGTGAGTTGAAAACCAAATTGCAAAGTTGAAGCAAAAACAGCTGAACTGTGACTGTAGCCGAATTGGAGAATTGTTCTAGATCAGCTATTTGGCCTCAAGTTTGCCATATGGTTTCCAGTTAGGTCTGCCTAATACACACATACTGCTTAATGCATACACCCAAAAACATACAGTGCCTAATACCTACATCCATAAACATACACTACCTCATACCTACATCCATACACACATACTGCCTTATACATGAATCCATACACACATATTGCCTAATACCTATATCCACAAACACACACATTGACTAGTACCTACATCCATACACACATACTGCCTAATACCTACATCTACAAACACAGACTGCCTAATACCTACATCCATACACACATATTGGTGAATTTAATCTATAAGACTAGCACAGACGAGCATACACACTGACAGACACTCACTAGCAGACACACTCACTGACAGACAGACACACACACACACACACACACTCACTGTCAGACACATACACACTGACACACACATAGACATACACTCATGGACAGACATACACTCATTCACTGACAGACATACACACACACACACATACACACACTGACAGACACACACACACTCACTGACACACATACTCACTCACTGACAGTCAAACACACACTCACTGACACACAGATTCACACAATTTATTTTTTTTTGAGGTAAATTCAGCCTCCCTACCTCCCTGGGGTCCAGTGTGAGGAAGCTTCTCACTGCTCCAGTGCGCTGTTAGTATGCCGGGGCTGGAATGACATCATATTCCGGGTCCCGGCATCACAGAGTGCGCGCGAGGGAGGAGTGAGAAGCTGCAAGAACAGCCTCCCTCGTCGCCCACAATACAGCCGCCTGCCTCCTGTCCCCCTCTCCTCCGGCATTTCTCGGCAGAGTAGGCACCTGCCATCAAGGTATATGCCTGCTCTGCCATATTTAAGAAGGACAGCATGGAGGCGCCCTGAGGTGGCCAGATGGTCACCACCTGGGCCCCCTGTGACAGGACTCCTCAGGGAGCCTCCACATTCAGGCGCCTGGAGGATCGGCCGGGCGCTGGGGGGGAGGGGGGGGGGCTCAAGAGCCCAGTGCTGCAGCCCAAGACAGGGGCAGCTCACCAGGAACCATCCTGGTGGGCGCCCCTAGCAGGCAAGCACCCTAGGTGAATGCCTAGTTCGCCTAACGGTGGTGCTGGCCCTTGTACCACACCATATTATTCCAGTAATTTCCACAACTGGTACAGGAGTCAACAATTTGATCTGTCAAATAGCCCACTGCTTGGCTAATTTATAATGCAGATTAGACAGCTTTGCATTACAAAGCCAAGATTCTGTACTTGTAGGTGTGCTTGCTTGAGATCATTGCCGGTATCAAGTCACCCAGATGCCACTATGGTGGCCCTGATTCCAGCATCTTCAAATGAATATCACATATTTCTAGATAGCAGTTTCAGTTCAGTTAAAGTTAAACTTATTTAAATTAGTCTATGCTCTTTGTTATAGTGCATATACATGCTATGAAAGAGACACTATAGGAACCCAGAACACTTAATCTCAATGAAGAGGTCTGGGTGCCATGTCCTGCTGTTTCAAACTTGCAAATTTAAACATTATTTTTCTCTAGGAATGGCCATGTTTACATAGAAGTTTTATAATTCTGATAGTGGCTATCACATTGGCAGTCACTAGAGGTGATTCAGCCAAAAAAGCTGAGTTAAACTTGGTTATTTCAATCTGATGATCTCATAGAGACTATTTGATTGGTGCAGCGCTGCATTTTGCTGCGCATGCACACTAGACTCCTAATATTTTCCAAAGGGAAAGCATTGGATTGGCTGAGAACATCAAGATTGATAATCTCAGCCAAGGAGGCGGAGCTTTGGCACAAAGACTGTTTCCCCGCTGGATGTAAAATTAGTAATATCTTTTAAATCATCACAGCTATAGGTAGAGGAACACTATAGTGTTAAGAATACATGTGCTCCTTTAAGCAAATCATATAACATATTGGTTATTACCTTACAAAATTATATACATGGAATTAACATGATGATGCTTTCTTTAATATAAAGAAATAGATTAGTGACCAGTTTTTTGGTTGTAATACAATGCACAAAAATGACATTCTGAAAAAAACACATTCATTTGGCTCTTCCAGTGTTGAAAAGAGCCTTTTTTCCACCAGGGTAGGCAGAGCCAGTGAAGGAAACAATTTATAATGAGTATTTGCCGTTGGTCTGTAAAATATGGTGTGACTATACTATACCATCCAATGTGGATCCAATGAAAATAGCATGAGGACTCAGCTTTTAGCCCTCACCCGAGTATTAAATGGATCATAGTTAAAGAGACATTATAAGGACCATAACCACTTTAGCTCACTGTAGTGGTTACAATGTCCTTAGTTCACTTGACACCATCTCTAAGTAAAGAATTAAATCCTTCTTGAACTGTTTGACACATATTTGGGCTACCAGCTGTTGGAAGTTTGTTCCCTTAACAGATATTGATAAAGCTAAAATTTCCTTTCTGTCCATCTTTGGACAGATTACAGTGAATGAATGGGAATTTACATTTTAGCTATGACTG